AGGTGTCAAGTCCGGTGATCTAGGTGGTTATGCAACTGTCCCTCTTCTTCCAATCCATTTGTTTTGTATATTTTCATCCATATAAGTTCTCGAATCACGGTAATGTATTATTAACTATTAATATTTAAAAAGTGTATACATCATTTTGGGACACTGTTATAGTGGAACACACCTATTCTATAGTTAATAGACCCTCCCACCTATAATAAGTAGGAGTAGTAATAGTAACAAGTGTGTCAGCAGTGAGTTGCTCAGTCAGTCGATTAATCACAGGGCTAAAATTGGGCTCGAGTCGGGTTCAAGCGTTCCAAAATGTCTGATGTTTTATCAAATGGCCAAATTTTGAGAATAGGATCGTGCCGAGAACTTTTCAGCACTCTCGAAATAGACCGACATTAGATACAGCCTATGCCCAACTAAAGTTGAGAATTGTCAATATGTTTTACTGTCAATATGCTTTAACTGATTTCTAACTAAAAGCCTTGACTGAAACCAATCAAGAATTTGTCTCATAAACTCTTTTGTTTTTACAACATCAAATATGATTTTATTGATTTCTGATCAAATTTCTTCAATAAATCCACCTGAAAATAAAATTTGTAATATAATCGATTTTCTGCAAGCGACATCAAATAAATGCACAGTTAGTGTGGCTTAATTAATTTCTCAGCATATGCTTTCATTAAACCTAAATGAAAAAGGGCCTTCCAAACAAATACAAATCAACAGACTATCAATTAATTATTTATTTGTTCTATTTTATTTATTTTTCATTAACTCATCATTTCAGGAAATACAACCAACCTTTAAAATAGAGAAATGCGTTTCTGAGCATTTTTGTTCATCTTCAGAATTTAGAAAACAATACGTATCATAAATGCGGCTGTAAGTCCAATAGTACATTTTGCAAAATCTAAGAGTTTTAGCGGAATGGCAGCCAGGGTAATTTTCCTGACCGCTCACTAAATCAGTCTCTTTGATATCAAGAAATTAAAAGTGTTAGACATAAAATAAATCAACAAAGATTTCTTTATACGACTGTACGTATTGTTGAATTTCATTTGCAAAACTGATATCTCAACTACATTTTACCATTTGAAGAGACTTAGGTTCAAGAAAAACGGCCGATTTTGGCGAATAAAAAAAGGTATCATATTCTACGAGGACAGCGTAAGATTGCATGTTGCAAATGAAGACCTTGCAGAAGCTTAAAGACTTGAAATGTCGGATCCTCCAGCACCGACACTGTATTCTTCTAACTTAGCACCTTCGGATTTTCATTTATTCCTCTCTCTATAGAACAATTTAAATGACAAAAAAATTGAGTCTGTTCAGTCTGTTGGAAACTACCTCACAACCTTCATTCAACAGAAAAAAACAAAAAAAAAAAAAAACACGAAGCTTTTATTAAAATGGCGTCGACCATCTTGTAGAACTATGGGAGACAGTTGTTAAAAACAATGGAGACTATCTACTTGACTAATATATATATATATACATATATATATATATATATATATATATATATATAGTTTTAAGGTGTATTCATATTCATGGGATAAAGTGTTCAATATTAGAGATAGACCGTATGTAAATATAAATATAAAAGTGAACATTGAAGTCAACATTCAGAGGCGACAGGCTGTTTCATGCTAAGCGCAATCGTCAGGCCGTTTACGCCTAACATAAAACAGTCTGTATATATATATATATATATATATATATATATATATATATATATATTGTAAATTAACTAATTTAAAAATATGGTTTATCGCTACACAAGAATTACCACGTTTCAAAAACAGAAAAATCTTCAAATGAACACCGTTTTGTAAAAATAGAAATATCAATAAGAACACCGGATTACATATCTTATTGTTCTTCCTTTTTGTACTATATATATATATATATATATATATATATATTGTATGTAAAATTTTGTTCCTAATTTTCTAATCGGACACAAACTTCATCAATGATCTGATATTTCTGTGAGAAATAACCTTTCTTTTTTCGGTCCGATGTCACTTTAGGCAGTTGACAATCACTGTTCTTGACATCTTCCTATCATTTGTAGCGCCTAGAACAATGATTGGCAAGGATGGTGACCAGACAAACGTCTTTTCATCATCCCTGCCAATCCTTGTTCTGTCATCCGTTTACCCAAACTCGTTATATAGGTTGTACGCTTTTTTTCTCTGTCCTTCTTGCCTTCAGTATGTCCTGTGCGTGTCAAACTCCCTACACCCTCTTTCTACATTATGTGTGACAGAAACTTCAGCCTTCTCTATCTGAAGTATAAGAACATTTTTGTTTCAATTTTCCTTAATCACATGTTTCATTCATGTTATTCTCCGTATCCTTCTGTAGAACCACATTACTGTTTCATCCATGTTATTCTCAGTATCCTTCTGTAGAACCACATTACTGTTGTCTCGACTCTCTTTCTGAGTTATGAGGAGAGTGTCCAGCATTTGTGTCATGTTATCGCCAGGCTCTGGTTATCTATCTCGGCGTAAAGAAATATCTTAACGTGAATTGATTGCAGCTAAGCCAAATATATTTGAAATAGTCAAATCTACAAAGCAGTGATATTACTACTTTAAATACATTTGCTTTGGCAGTAATCTATTCACGTTTAAATGCGTAAATATCTTGGACGATGTCGGGAAATGTATCTCAGAAGTGTGAAGTTTCATTGGAATTGCGAAAGCTGCTTTTCGAAAGCTAAGCAAAGGATTAAAACAGTAAAAAGAGTGCTGATCCCTGGTTCTACAGAAGGAATCTGAGAGTCTGGCAAATCATCAAAGAAAAAGTTTTAATAAAAATACAAACGAAAAGAATTGCAATTAGAATCAGAAAGAGACATTTTAAATTTGCGGTTGCATAATGAAGAAAGACAGCTTGGAAAGTTAGATAATCACAGTATTTAATGAAGGCAAGAGATACAGAGAGAATAACCTACCTTATAATGTTGCGTAAATCGATAACAGAAAAGGTCCTGAGAACTCTTGTAAGGCGATAAACATTGGTCACTGCTAAAAAGTTTAAGAGGTTATGCAGAACCACGATCTCCCATGTCCTGAAAAACGACGCGATTTCGAAAACTAATCTAGTTCATTATATTTAATTATCGCAAATACATTTGGGAAAGGTATAAATCCAGCTCTTTTCCGTCAAAATGTGGGTTAATAAGGCGGATTGGTAACTCAGCCTTGGTTGACAAGTAGTCGAAGAGAAAAGAAAACTGAATTCAATACCATGGGAAATGGGGCGAACAAATTCACCTGTTAAAAACCTACTTGCTACGAAGACCCCCAGTAGCAACGACCAGAGTGCTTTGATGGTTTCTCCCTTATTTTCTTAGAGGTGTCTACTGTACTTGAGTACATATATATATATATATATATATATATATATATATATATATATATATATATATATATATATATATATATATTTATAATATTTTATAAAAAAATATATTATAATATAAGCTCTACTTCTGTATGGAGCACTGTCTTCTTAAAATAAAAAACAAAAGTACTAAGGAACTCCGGATTATGCACCCAACGTGTTTTCTGCATACATGCGCAATTATATATATATATATATATATATATATATATATATATATATATATATATATTCCAGGCTGTCTTTCAAGTATTTGTTTCTTCAGTCAAGCTTCGTCCATTGTGTTTGGTGTATTGTATCTTTTTGTTTTTTGTTGATTTTTTTTGTTGCTTTTTTTGTATTTACTTCAGACATCGTTGATCTCCGAATCAAGATATATATCTTCAAGATTCTGTTCGATTCCATCCTTACCTTGTTCTAAATAATCACATTTCTTCCTAAAATATCCATTTCTTTCAATCTTGCTGCTAGAGTCCGGGATCCCCAAAGTGGAAGATTTTGCTCATATCTTGAAACTAGCGGAAAGATTCAAAGAGTGAAGATAAAGGAGGCAGTCTCTTGGTATGGAATTCAGATTGTAACTTTAAAAAAAACATAGTTTTCTGTTAGTAATGTACTATAAGTCGCGTTAATACCTGAGCGCTGTTTCCTGCTTAACTCTTTGAGCATTGACCAAATTTTTACCGGTGGTAGATAAAAATGACGCAATGCCGAGCCACCGGTTGAACAGCGATAGAGAAAAATGACTTAATCCCCTGCAACCAGTTGAACAGTGGGTTTTATATTATAAGTATTTTTATATCTACCGTGAAACATTACATACCAATTACTTGCGAATTTTTACTCAGGAGCTCAGGCAGAAAGGTTAAAATTGTTAAGGAACGCATGGCTCAAAAGGTTAAATTATGCTTAATTTTTAGACTAATGTCAAGATTGTCGCGATTATAAGCTTCATGCATATCAATAAATGAATAACAGTATATCATTAGTTTCTATCAAGAGTAAAAGGCACCTTGCTATTGGAACGAAACATTCTTGCACAACGGATATCAATAAGACACTATTTAATGATTTGCTAGTTAATTGCAAACATCAATTATCTTCCACATGTCTTGAATCGAGGAAAATACATTTTGAACATACATATCGACAACAAGGATAATAGAAGATAATTTTTTTTATTGATCATAATTTCAATAAATGAATGATTGCTACATTTGAAAGTGGATCGAATTACACCATATAATTAATTGACGACACAAGAAAAAAAATAAGAGTTATGTATATATATTTAAAATCTTATCGAAGGAACAAACTTCTCGTATAATTAGAATTAGATCATAACGATGACATATATGACCATGAAAATCTTCATAATTCGGAATGATAAATCTTTCAAGGTGACAGAAGAAAAATAGATGCAGTGATTGATTTAATGATCGATTCCTATTTTCTGACTGATATGTATCATGAAACTAAATCAATGCATTCAATCTGATTGATTTAACGACATATTGACCGACGAGCCGAGTGATATTCATTTGCTATTCTAAATGAGAACAGAATAAGTAAATAGCCGATTATAATGGAACTGTAAAAAAAACATAGATAGATAGATAGATAGATAGATAGATAGATAGATAGATAGATAGATAGATGCAAATGTACTGACTTAGATATAAACAGTCTGAGATAGATAGATAGATAGATAGATAGATAGATAGATGCAAATGTACTGACTTAGATATAAACAGTATGAGATAGATAGATAGATAGATAGATAGATAGATAGATAGATAGATAGATAGATAGATGCAAATGTACTGACTTAAAATAAACAGTCTGAGATAGATAGTTAGATAGATAGATAGATAGATAGATAGATAGATGCAAATGTACTGACTTAGATATAAACAGTCGTAGATAGATAGATAGATAGATAGATAGATAGATAGATAGATAGATGCAAATATCACTGCTAAAATGTTTAAGAGGTTATGCAGAACCACGATCTCCCATGTCCTGAAAAACGACGCGATTTCGAAAATTAATCTAGTTCATTATATTTAATTATCGCAAATACATTTGGGAAAGGTATACATCCAGCTCTTTTCCGTCAAAATGTGGGTTAATAAGGCGGATTGGTAACTTTCAGAATATAAACAGTCTGAGATAGATAGATAGATAGATAGATAGATAGATAGATAGATAGGGACAGAGATGTGTAAATAATCTGAAATACGACAGAATGATAAAATAAACAACAAATAGGAATACCTTTATAAGTTTAACGTGTTTCGCTTTTATTTTAGTTCTATAAGAATTTTTTTTAATGTGTTATCATCATCATTATTATCCCACCATATTAAAAAAATTTACAATGCAAAAATACAGCATGTCCCTCGAGTCTGGACACATAGGAAATCTCAATAACTATAATTTTTTAACTCCACAGATTAAATATGGTTTTGTCGAAAGAATAAAAAACTGACTTCTTTTTCTGGGGTATGCTTAAGGAGAAGGTGTACTCAATGAAAATCACAGATGCAACACACTTGATTAAACGCATAAACAAAGAATGCGATAAAATTGACAGCAATGTGGAGTTGTTGCATCGAGTGCACGTGAATCTTGCGAAGCACGTCAACTTTTGTATCACTAATGATGAAAATCATATTGAAGATGTTAATTATTAATATTCCAATTCAATAAAGTGTGGTTGAAAATTTAATTTCTTGAAAATATGCTTTTTTGCCTATGTGTCTAAACTTTAGGGACACTCTGTATTTTATGGCTTTAAATAATCTTCAAAGGGTTAATAAGACATAGAAGACGAACCCCTCAGCAGTCATATAGCCAGTTCAGAGTTTCACGTCTTAGTTTCAACCTTTAAAAACTTTGCAGCTAAGACACGCGATGCTATGCACACAAGGTCGAATCTTTCTTCTTCCTATTCCATTACTAAGAAGTGCCAGTCAGACAGCTTCATGGAACAAAATTCTGAAAGGATCTATCAGTACAATCGTAACCTTTAGAGTCAACCGTTATCTACCTTACATATCCTCAAAATCTGATATATTACCCTTTCTTCTTACGTTCATATAGCAATATAATTCAATAACCTTCTACTTTGAGTGGCACTTGGTCACTGTATTAGATGAAGAATAGTATAAAAATATTAAAGATGTTGGAATTTGTTTTTATTTCAAGACGTCAACTGTCTATTGGCAAGCAGAAGGACTTCCTTTATTCCTTGAAGTTAAATTTGCCGACCGGCTCCGCGCTCTTTTCTTTCTTTTCAACCTTTTCTGAGATGACAAATCGTCTGTTCTTAAACGCGTTTCCGTCGATGTTACTGGTAATTGCCAGCTAGATCTCATAATTTCAGTGTTAGAATTGTTAGCTGTAACCGTAAGTTCTATGCTAATGGTTTCTTCTCCGACACTTCTTGTTTGTGGAACTCTCTTTTGTCAAATTGAATCTTGTTTCTCTCACTTTCTCTTACCAGCCCTATCTTATTTTCTTTTAGCGTCTTACTTGAGATGAGTTGATTTTTTTAAATTCTATTTATGGCTTAATATTTTAATTACATCAGAGGATCTTTGATGGGAGTTGATCGAAAAAGCTGACTGTTTGGTGTGAAATTAAACCACCTGTTTCTTTGAAGATTAATTTCAACATGGCTCAGCTTCTACAAGCTATATTTAGACTTTTTACTTAAAAAAAAAAATTATTAAAATTCTTTGTATTTTGGGAAACAATGCAATTTTAGTGACAATCTGGACAAGTGATAAAATGTTAAAAGTGACAGGAAGCAAGACCGAGGGTGCCTAACAATGCTTCCCACTGGTCGACATTGATGGTCAACAGGCGTGTGACAGAGGCGAAATCTGGATGAGAGTTCCAGTTAGAGGCTGAACGCCGTATTTTCTTACCAACTGAACAAAGCCAATAACGTCCGCCTTGAACTAAAGACCTTCCCAATCACAGTAAGGGCATCTTTATTTCAAAGGCATGGCTCATTTGTGTCCAACACAGCTGTAGGTCATTCAATCTATAAAGTGTGTGTCGATGCTCTAATATATATATATATATATATATATATATATATATATATATATATATATATATATATATATATATATATATGCCTGTGCTGTAGGCTTTATATTGAGGATCAGCAAACACCTGCAGCGGGCATAAACATTATAACGGTAATGACATTAAGGTTATATTTCGATGATTTTCGCCAGTGATCCTAAAACCTTATATAATTTGAGTATCTTTTCTTACAAATCTTTGTCTTAATTGGTGCGGGATGAAATGACATAGGATCGCCGAGGCAGAGCGGATGGAGATTTAGATTAACAGAATTGGTTTCTTTCTGTACTTTGTTGTCATTCGTGGCTAAGAGGTTACCATTTGAGTTGAAGCTGCAGTGATCAACTTCAAGAGTTGGGTGAAGGGTCATCATTCCGAGTTGATAGGTGCTGGGGTCTGTAATGTGAATTATGACGACTTTAAAACTAGTGACGAATCTGTAGATGGATTGCAATTTATCGAGCTGTAAATACGTGTTCGCGGTTTCCCTAGTTCTTGCCTGTCAAGCGATAGCTCACTGGTAAATCGAAAGAGAGCAACTCATAGGAAATAAAGTTAAAATTGTCGATATCACCATGATTTTCTTATCAAGGAAAATCGTGTTGTAAAATCGGCAACGATTCTTTGTTTGTCCTGAAAAGAATTTCCAAAATTCTTCAATGAATCAGTTTTATTATTGTTAATTTCTGACTACTTTTTTTTCTTTTATCTTATTTCCTTTGCCTGTTTACGCCTAGTAGTATTAGTATTAGTAGTAGTATTAGTAGTAGTAGTAGTAACACGAATTATAACTTATCTAATTGTTTTAAATGGGCTGCGCTTGCGCAATGAGTCTCTACCATTATCATCAATTTTTGACTGATTTTTCTTTCGTCTTTTTTTTTAATGTTTCTTGATATGGGAACATCAACAATCACTGTTGTGGTTGGAGCCCTCGGATTGGTTGGAAAAGATTCCAGTAGACTAATTGAAGGGATTTCCGGAAGCCCATGCCTTAAGAAAATACAAAAAGAATTTTCTCACGAGTACAGCCCACGCCTTACAAAGGGCTTTATTTATGTAAAATATGTTTTTGTTTGTTTGTTTGTTTGTTTGTTTGTTTGTTTGTTTGTTTTTGTTTTTTTTTAAATTGGTCAGTGGAAAATGTCATGATGCCATTTCTAATCTTAGGTCTCTGCAATGGGTACACTAGACCCAGCAATGGGTACACTCCAGAAATCAAAAGAAATAAAATAAAAAATAAAAATAATAATAGTGGTAGTAATAGTAGCGGGTGTAATAGTTTTAATAAAATAGCAACATAAATAACGCTTATGCTCAGAATCAGGAAGAGACAGATGAAATTCCTTGGACGAAGCAGAGACTGGAAACTTTAGGGCAACAGTGATAGGGTAAAACAGCGAGACTTCTACCCACCGAGCTTTTGGGAATGGATAGAGGAATGCGGGGTGAGCCTTAGCAAAAGTAGAAAAAATACCAGGGGTTACAAGAAATAGAAAGTTTTGGAGAGCCACGATAGTCCATGTCCTGAAGAGACGCAGTGGTATTAGGCAAAATGCTTAATATAACTGCCCCCGGAGAATTACCCCCTGGACAATTCTCCACTGAAAAATTACCCTCATACGACAACTTCACCCCGGACAATTGCCTCCATGAAAAGAAAATTAAAAGAAACATAAATTTGGGGGGGTGGGGGTAATAAATAATAATAAAACTAATTAAGGTTGTATTTTTGTGCTTTATCTGTTATCTAATAAGAAGAATTATCTAATAATATGATTTATATTTCCATTGTCCGAGGGAAGTTGTCTTATGGGCGCAATTATCAGGTGGCAATTGTCCAGGTGTCAGTCGTCATATAGCCGGTTGTAGTAAAGAAGAAGAAGAAGGGGGAGAATGAAGAGGAGTAGGAAGAAGTAGCGAAGTAGGAGGAGGAGAAGCAGAAGAAAAAGAGCAGGAGGAGTTTTAAATATATTTTTTTTCAATACCAATATTATCAACTAACTTTTCCTTAATCTTGTTTCTGTTGCTTGTTTACACCTAGTAGTAGTGGATATAATAGCTGATTTACACATTTTAAATAACTTGAAATTATTCAATGAAACAGTATTCCTTTCGTCCTATTTCTGTTGCGTGGTTGCACTTTTTAGTGGTTGATATTATTATTTTAAGTTGTTCAAATATCTTAGAGGAATATCTCGATTTTTCATTACTCTTATCTTTGTTGCCTTTTATAGCAAGACAGGTTGTTTTTTGACTCTCCTGCCTTTCATATATGCAGCATAAATTAAAACACTAAAGATTACATTCACGCCACCCCCCCAAAAAAAGACTAAATGGCTATAGATGCGTTTAACGCCATAACGAAAGTAGTAGCCTACTAGTTTAAATAAAAAAAAAAGTCTAACGGATTTATATAATGAAAGAGAAACATTTCATATTTATTGCCTTAATGGCTCAGCATTTGTTAGCTGATACTTGAAATAAAGATATACTATGAAAATATAAATACATTTTAGCATTGATACTTAATTAAAATTAAAATTTAGCCTTTGAGCAATCTGTTTATATTTATGTTAAGTCTTTTTGGCTGTTTAATAGCGATCTGAAGGAGAAATATTTCCCTAGTCTGGGGAAAGTCTCAATTGTATGCCCTGTGCACAGATTCGAATCATCCTCATTCCTTTTGTATTCTATTGGCAAGTAGAGGGTTCCATCCAGACAGCTGAGAGTATTTTTTAATAAACTCCCAAGATAGTGTTTCCTTGATCAAGATGATCTTAGCAACTTCAAGTCTAGGGCCATACGTTAACTATCCTACGTATCTTCATAATCTGCGCTTCGTACTTCTCTACAACAACCTCATTCAGTAACGCTCTACCTTAAAAGGCTCTTGAAATAGCTGAACAATAGTATAAGAATATTAGTACTCTTCTTCTACGTCTCGCTTCACTATCTTTTCTCTAGACACACACACACTGTTGTAACGGCTAAGGATCTCTGAATATGAAAAGCGATTTTTTTTCATTTGATATGTCCTTTCAGGACGTGGACGAACATGGCTCTGGTAACTTCTTATCCTTTTTAGCTGTGAACAGTGTTTATCCCCTTAAAACACTTCCCAGGTCCTGTTCTTCTATAGATTTACACAACACCATAAGTTAGCTTATTCTCTTTGTCCCTCTTATCTTCATTATATACTGTGGGTGCCAATTTCTCCAAACCCTCTTTCTCTATTATGCCTTCCCAGAAATTTCAACTGCCTCGTTCTGAGTCTAAATGCAATTGTCATTTTGGTTTTTATATTTCTTAAAACTTCCCTGTGTAACTATATATATATATATATATATATATATATATATATATATATATATATATATATATATATATATATATATATATATTTTGAACCATTTTCAATTTCTCATATTTTTTAGTACAATCCAACACCTTTTATAAAATTTACAATCTTGGATGGTTTTATTTTCGTAAAATGTTTTTTTGAAAATTACTCACTTGGTGATATTTTGTTCGCACTAGATCAAAATCTACACACTCTAACAGTATATGTTTCACTGTAAATTTGAATTATTGCTGATAATAATTTTTTCCTTAAAAAAATTATTACCAGCAATAATTTTTTCCTTAAAAAATTATTGCTGGTAAAAAATTTTTATTACAAAGTATTTCTGGTATTAAAACCTATTTTTACACAAGTTTAAGTGTTAGCTATTTGCCCATAGCTGGGACCCTAACAGGTGCTACCACTCCAGGTCAGAGTGGACCTGGAAACACCAGCAATTAAGAAATGTTTTCACGCTCCTCAAAACCTAATCAGAGGCCTTGATGTTGGACGTAGATTATCATCTTACCCAGGACACTAATTAGTAAGATTTGTATCATTAAATTTTTATTAACTCCAAAAATTCTTACACTCTAAACAAGATTATTTTCTAGCTTTGAATAACTGGCAAAAGGTTGATAAGCCGTAAAAATAAATCAATCTTTGTTTCAAACGAAAAATTTCTATTTTCTTATACTTTCTTTAGCTTTTAGAAGTTATATTTCGATATTTCAATGCGTCTTCGAATTTTGATGTCACATTTTCTGTTGTATATTAAAACATTTCCCAGACTGTAAAACAATTTTTTTTTTTCTGTAAAGTCTTGGCAGGGAGCGCAATAAGAAACCGACATTTTATGAAGTAGTCTGATGCTGTACATTTTGAAATTCTAAGAGGAAATATTTATTTATTCGATATGATTTCAGACATTTTTTTTAAGTTTTACTATTTTGATATAAAGTTTATACCAGATGTCTAGAAAAGCTAAAGTTTGTAACAACCGGATGATTCTTTTCATTTTTTTTTTTTTTTCAATGATGTTCACTCTGTACAAAGTAAGAGGCATAGTTTATACGAATATGTGTGGAAGATAACGGTTAACCCTAGACATGAAGAGTGATTGGGAGTCGGTTGTTGGAATAATCTGCTTAAGTGGAACTTACATCTCGAATACGAATGGAATGAAGGTTGATCGCGACAATGTGCACGGTTTGTTGGTGGGTCTTAGCCGTGATGGAATTGGTGGAATTTTCATGCAAATAGCGATAGGGCAGTGAGAGACTTGCGATTTTCCGCCCTACAATACCTTTAAACCTGGAAAAGGTATTGTAGGGCGGAAAATGAGAAGCACGCGGAGACGCTTTTGGATTTGGCAGCAGTTCTCCATGATCTGATTCTTGGGGATCTTGTAACGGCATTCACCTGCGGTGGGTTGAGCCGGCTCCAATAGTGGAGTTTTTCATGGGAATTTGGAATTCACAGGCGGTCCCCAACCCGCATGTATAGCACATGAGATTTTCCTTCTCCTAGACCAGTTGCCACTCAAGGCTATAGAACCCAGTCTGTCCTGCTATTTACCCATAGCTGGAGGGAGAAGAAGAGGATTCACACCTTTCTCAAGGGTAAGTGGATGTAAAGGATTCGACTGGAATTCGAACTCGGATCTCCGATTCCTCAATCCAAGCCGCTATCCATTACTCCACCGTGCCTCCTCATTCTTGGAGATAGGTAATGAATAGTAATTAGAGTCAGGTACTTGAGAGGTACAGGGATACTATTTTTTCCAGCATCTTTAGTGATGGATCGTAATGGACGAGTTCCACTTGGGCTTTGGGTTGATTAAGTCCCAATAGGCGCTCAAAACAGAGGGTATTCACAATTCTATG